CTTGTCGCAAGGTCCAGAGAGTATCGTGGATAGCAGTGTCTCCCAGCCAAATGGCCGTATATTATACTTGGCCACGCGCGCCACATGAGGCCTGGTATTTTCATAGAGAAATATTACACCCATTCGATTGATAAATGCTGATGCCTTCTGCTTCAGTGCCTGTTACGCGCGTTTCACTCTTGAGAGTACTGGTCCGCAGTGATGGCTTGGCCCGTTGTAGTGGACCATCAAGATACAGGACATGATCTTGCGTGGGTTTAGATGTGATTTTGTGGTGTGAGTCACAGGGTCATGTGGTGAGAACCAATGTCTTGGGAGGGTTATACATGACACACTTTTCAGCACTGGTGAGCACTTGGTCAAATATGAGTAGATTGCCGTGACAATAAAGCATCATGAGACAGGTGACACACGTTGTTGCATGTTGGCTGCCGACAATATCTGTTGTATCCACTTGATCAATTTTTCCTCTTCCCTATGCGCTGCATGTGAAGGCTGACTGTTGCCTAAGAAACCTGAAATCGTTCGGACATCTCATCACAGGTTTGGCTTTTGCCTTCGTTTATATCTGGGCGGCCGCTGCTGTATTCATCACAAAGAGACATCTACGAACTTTTGGAACCAAGGCTTGACATATGCGGAGATTTCATGCTGCTGCGGACAAGCCCGAGAACGAGTTGCTTCGACATCGCTATTTTTCTCTCCGCTGTCGAATTATGACGGATTTGTTTGAGCAATGACCCTGAATTTTTCAAGAGCATTATCCCTCGTCCAAACCGACCGCTTTCCCGGCATGTGACGCACTGATTTGCGTATAAGTGTGCACTTCTTTCCACAAAAATTAAAAAAAAAATATGGCAACTTTCTTGGTTAACTTATAAAAGGCTATCAATTTTCCGTTTGCTCGTAACTGATACGCTTCTACACATTGCTAACCTAGTCAGTTGCGTTGAATTTGCACAACTGCCCAAGGGAAAGGTATGAATCCATATATCCCCTCAGCTGTGTGTTAAAAAGCAGTGTAAACTGCGCTCTCTTGCCGGGGGTTGAAATTCTATTCTGAATTAAAACTGCAGAAAAAAAGGAAAAGATCTCACATTATTAGCTTTGCCAAGAAGTCATAGCAATTTACATATAATAAAATAAAAATGATCTCTGCAGGACCATGATCACCTAATTCGTAATGGGACATGGAATTATATATATATATATATATATATATATATATATATATATATATATATATATATATATATATATATAGAGAGAGAGAGAGAGAGAGAGAGAGTTCTCGTGTTCTTAAAGAGAATCGAAATTATTAATCTATCCAGCTATCTGGCTATTTTTTATAACAACAATAATAATAACAAAGACAATATAATGCCAAGAAATATAAAAGTAAACATTCGACAAGGGAATTTCTCTGAAGATAAGGCATTTAAGGCAAGCAGTAACTATAATTACAGTCTTTGACATCAAACGGTAGATATATAGCTATTTACAGTATGAGGTTTTGGAGAGGAAACTTATAGTTAACATCAGGAAGAGACACCATTAGCTTTCCCAAGAAGTTTTTCAAACAGCGTGGATGGTCCTTCACGAAACATTCAGCACTATAATCAAATCTGATATGCTGTTGTCGGGTTGTAGGTTTCCTGGGAATTGATCTGCTTGACCTCATACGTCGAATTCGACGAAAGAGCTGAGTACATACATACATACATACATATATATATATATATATATATATATATATATATATATATATATATATATATATATATATATATATATATATATATATTAAAAGAATGCAAATGAAATAAAACTTGAAAGATTGCTAATTTGAATCTGCTTCGGTCTATTATGGTTGGCATGACATTGACTCGTCTTTAGATGAACCTGGACAAAAGTTATCAGATGAAACCTAGTCCCTGGAGATTCCATTCATAAGGTAGTAACTAATTTCTGCACTAGATATGATCGTTATTATGGGAACTCGTTTATTTATGCTAACATGACCATGATATATTTTTGGCCCAAATTGAACCGATCTTCTGTAACCTTTGCCCCCGATGGGGCAGGGGGGGATACATATATAAGCTTTTTAATGTATCATTGCATTTACCTCATGAGCCAGGCTATCGATTTTACATAGCCTGTTCATAGTCATCTAAGTCTATTTAACTAGTAGATATTTCAAACTTCAGAGCCAGTATGGTCAGCCATTTCGTCTGACAAGCAAGGAGAATAAATAATTGGTGATTTCTTTAAATAATCAGCTGTATGGATGGGTGGTTTGGGTCTTTTATGAAAATTTCGTCAGCTTCGTTACAAGGCAAAAGAAGACAGAAGATATGGCTGACAGGAAGATAAAAAAAACAAGATGCAAACTACGAAGTGGACATGTCAAAATGAAACAATTACAAATTTAAATATCTGGGAAATGACTGAAAATTCAATGAAAAATCTGTCGCAGAAAATGTGACACTGAAATCGGAACAGCAGAAGATGCCTTCGAAAAATCTAATTAAAGTACTCAGAAAGAACAGAGCGAAGAGTGCTGAACTGTGATGTAATATCAATCCTCTTATGTGACAGTAAATGATGGACAATTTCTTCACAGATGAGAATAAAACTGGAGGCAACAGATGTACGATTCTACCGAAGGAAGCTAAGAATATACGACAAAGAAGCCTTAAGAGAAATTAAAAAAAAATATGACTCACAATAAGACTGGAGGCAACAGATATACGATTCTACCGAAGGAAGCTGGGAATATACGGCAAAGAAGCCTTAAGAGAAATTTAAAAAAAATATGACTCACAATAAGACTGGAGGCAACAGATATATGATATCTACCGAAGGAAGCTGGGAATATACGACAAAGTATCCTTAAGAGAAATTTAAAAAAAAATATGACTCACAATAAGACTGGAGGCAACAGATACATGATTCTAGCGAAGGAAGCTGGGAATATACGACAAAGAAGCCTTAAGAAAAATTTAAAAAAATAGGACTCAGAATTCTGGAACACATAATGAGGAAAGACAGCTTAGAGAATTTGACACTCGCAAGGCATATTGAAGGTTAGAGGAACAGAATGAAACAGTAACTTACGAGAATACGTAAATGGATGCAAGAGCAAAAAGGAAAGAATTAAAAAGACAAACATTGCTAAGAGCTAAAGAGGATATCAAGAACTTTACTTAGAATTTGGAATGTGTATTTTGCTATTCCAATTCGGATTTTGGTGTCCCATTTTCTATGCTCTGGTAAAACATTTGCCAGATATTTAATCTTCAATTTGTAGTTCGTACATTTGACTTCTTTTGCTGACAACCATACATTCTGTCTTCTCACAATTGCTGGCAAGTGCTTTCTTATCGCTTTCCTTTACTAACCTTGTCTAGAAGGCTTTGTAGTTTTATTTATCGGTCCACCATAAATACGGTGCTATCTGTGGACCTTATATCGTTAAGAAAGTGCTCACAGGTAATAAATCCTGGTAGGATATGCTACTCTTTTAGAATAACCTTGTTGTAAAGGTCGAATAAATCCGATGAGAAGACATATTCTTGTCTTAACTTCGTTTCTTTCTTTTTTTATTGGTATTTACTCAATTCATTTTCTTAACGTATATAGGCGTCTTCCTTCCAGTATACATTCTGGATTATTCTAATATCTTTGCCTAATAAATCAAGATTTCGTAGAAGTTCAAACAGTTTTTCGTTCCCTAACTTATCAAATGCTTTTGTGTGATCTATGAAACGTAAGCATATATCATTCTGCACTATTATTGATCTTTCTGAGTGGCGGCAAAAAATGGGTTCAATGAGTTTATCTTCCTATGTATCGAGTTAACAACGATCAGAATTAAACGCACATGTGCGTATATGTGCGTTTTTTGCTTGTATGCGCGTTTTTTATTCGCTGTTCTTTGCTAAGTTGATACACTTGATAACGGACCGACCCCAGATGCTGTCCAGCTGTGAGTCAGAGGCCTGAATAGGTGTGAATGTACTGAAGACTGTGTCGACAAGCTATGCTCTCCTCGTATATTCCGTTTTACCGGCAAGTTTTCTTTTGATAAATTTACCCTAAATCTATTCCTATCCCATAAGCGACTGGGGACAAAAAAATCACCAAAACAAGGGTGAGAAAACCACACACACACACACGCACGCACACACACACACACACACACACACACACACACACACACACACGCCCCCCCCCACACATATATATATAAAAAAAATAAGAGGGAAACTATTCTTAGCTGACGTGTTTCGTCATCTGAGGGACTTTATAAAGCCAAATATAAAGGACAAAACACGTAGGCCAAGAATCGTTTTTTTTTCTCTTGTTCCTTCACAGATACACACTATCTGAATTTAAACACACACGCATACGGCCACACGCATATATATATATGTGCGTGTGTGTGAGTGTGTGTATGTGTGTGTATATTGATATAACAGGAAAGAAGTGTTAGATTAATGATCCAAATTTCTTTAGTATTTTTGTTTTAATTAAAAAAAAAAAAAAAAAAAAAACAGTGCTCGCTACAGAAGTAGAGCTTAAAATAAAATTATTTTAAAAATATGATTCCAAAAGCGGCACATATATATATATATATATATATATATATATATATATATATATATATATATATATCAACACGTTTGGTTAAAAATCCGAAATGTTTTGTCTGTATAATTTTTTATTGTATTTTCCCAGTTTCCGAAAAAGGTATTGAGTATTACGCTCGAAGTTGCGAATAAAATATCGCAGTCCTTTACAAGAAGAAATGTGGTGTCTGGGTAGCAGTTACAATTCATTTGGCTACACCCTGGTTTTCTTTGGAAAGTTGTAAGTTTGAATGTTTGTCTACGGTGACGTCATGGGTGACACCTATTGGAAACGGTGCCTTATTAAAAATACGATTTATTTACTTATTTATCGATTCTTTTAATAAAAATTGTTTGGATAAATAGATCCTTCCTAAATTATATATTGGTCCAATCTATCTATCTATCTATCTATCTATCTATCTATCTATCTATCTATCTATCTCACTCTGTGTGTATGTGTATATATATATATATATATATATATATATATATATATATATATATATATATATATATATAGATTTGTGTGTGTGTGGTGTGTATGTATGTGAGAAACCGCAAACGTTTTTGTTTATAATGTTAATTTTTAAATGTATATTTTATTTTTCATATTTTTGCTACACGAGTTTCCGGTCTCGGAACCTTCATCAGGCAAAGAGTGGATATTTCCACATATTATTAAAAGGAATTAATTTTTCCTTATGTTTTTCGATGTTTAATGATTGTGTTTTTTTGTATAGTAGTAAGCCAAATGTTTCTTCTTGGACTGGTGGCAAAAGTTTTCTTTTGCTTATGGGATAATAAAACAATTAGGATTGGTCAGAAAAAGGGTGTCTAGGTTATAGGAGATTCAGGACTCATAAAAAGATAAGAACGAAGAATTCTTCCTTCACCCTTTGTCTAAATGTTTTATTGCACCTTAACACGAAACTTTTTTGTAGGCTAACTAAAAGTGAGTAAGAAGAAATGCGTATAATTATTTTTACTTTATTTTTATAATGTTCACCCAATACAAGGCACAAAGGGCCACACAAGGTAGAGGATTACTGTGTGGAGTTGTATTAGCCTGAGAAAGGGTAAGTAGTAAAGTTATTGGGGATAATTAGTGAATAAAATGCCAGAGTTCAGATAGAGACGGTAGAAGTATAGCGTTGAAGTTGAGATAAGAAGGAGCCAGAAACCCAATACTAAACAGGAAACAATAGATAAATCTCTATTCCTGATCAAAAGGCTGGGGAGGAGTGTGAACTGGACGATAGGCATACATATCTCCTCCGATTGGGAGAGCAAAATTATAATAATTACTGAATAAAATTTCAGCTTTCATGTAGAGACATCGGAATTACAGGGTCGAATAAATCGGAAACCCAATTCTAAGCAGGAAATAATGGATAACCTTGTACTTCTTTTAAAAAACTGGGGAGGAGTATGAACCGGACGATTGGCAAACATATCTACTTCTATCTGGGCAAGAATAATGTTATAGCGGAACACACCTATTCTATAGTTAATAGACTCTCCCACCCATAATAAGTAGGAGTAGTAAGAATAACTGGGGAGTCGCTCACGAGTTGGTCAGTCAGTCGGTGTCGGACGACCGTTAGTCGGATATTAAAGTACCAGCCACCACAACTAGATTACTGCGTCATAACCTATTATATCAACTTCCTAACGTTTTGTACGTCGAACCTATTTTAGGACCGACTTAGTACAAATACAAGCCTCAACTGTGAAACCACTCTACAACAAATAATAATAATAATAATAATAATACTTAATGAATAAAATCTCAGGGGGGAGAACTCAGAAATAGAGTTCAAGGAACCGGAAACCCAGACCTAAACAGGAAACAAAGGAATATACTTCTACTATTGTTCAAGAAACTGCGTAGGGGTATAAACAGGGCGATGTGTGAACCTAAATACTCATATTATAACCTAGAATCTATCATTATTATTACAGATTTTTATCACTTTTTATAATGCTTCCGTTTGTCTTTCATTGTCATATCATTAAACTTGTATTTCTTCAGTTATTTTCTCTTTGCTCTGTTCCTTTCTTTCTTTAGATATTTCTTTATCATTTATTCCTTTCTGTGTATTTCTTTGGTTATTATTTCTAATTGTCTTTATTCTTTTACATTCATTCTTTCGTTTATTCCTTTCTTTAGTTTTTCTTTCTTTATTACTTCCTTCGTGTATTAATTCTTCCCTTTTTTATCCTATCTTTTGTTTAATTAATTCTACGTTTATTCGGAGGTTTCTTATTTCTTTCTCTAGTTCTTTCTTTACTCCGTTATTATCAATTTCTTTATTTAGATAGTTCTAGGATTTATTCTTTCGACGATTAATTCTCCTTTTTATTATCCTTTATTTAAATTATGCCTTCCTTTCCACATTCCTTTATTATCATTTCTGCTTTTGTTTATTTAGTCGAACGTTTATTCCTTTATATACTATTTCCAGCTATGCTCGTACATGTGTTTATTGTTTCGTTTCTATATTCTCCTATTAACATTGACTACTTTGTTTATTTATATCCTACGTTCATTACGTAGTCTATTGCATTTGCCTTTGTTTATTCCTTTGTCTATTGCCCTTACTTTTGTTTATGATTTTGTCTATTGCTTTTCCCTTTATTTGTCACTTTTTCCTTCATTTGTTTATTAATGTGTTTATAGCTATAACGTTTATTTATTAATTTGTCTATAGATCGTGCCTTTGTTTATTAATTTGTCAACTTCTCGACTCTTTCTTTAATACTTTGTCAATTTCTCGACCCTTTCTTTATTACTATGTCAATTTCTCGTGCCTCTGTTTATTACTTGGTCAATTTGTCTTCCCTTTGTTTATTACTTTGTCAATTTCTCGACCCTTTGTTTATTACTTTGTCAATTTCTTGTCGCTTTCTTTATTAGTTTGTCAATTTCTCGACCCTTTCTTTATTACTTTGTCAATTTCTCGTGCCTCTGTTTATTACTTGGTCAATTTGTCTTCCCTTAGTTTATTACTTTGTCAATTTCTCGACCCTTTGTTTATTACTTTGTCAATTTCTCGACCCTTTGTTTATTACTTTGTCAATTTCTTGTCTTTGTCAATTTCTCGACCCTTTGTTTATTACTTTGTCAATTTCTCGACCCTTTGTTTATTACTTTGTCAATTTCTTGTCGCTTTCTTTATTAGTTTGTCAATTTCTCGACACTTTGTTTATTACTTTGTCAATTTCTTGTCGCTTTCTTTATTAGTTTGTCAATTTCTCGACCCTTTCTTTATTACTTTGTCAATTTCTCGACCCTTTCTTTATTACTTTGTCAATTTCTCGACCCTTTGTTTATTACTTTGTCAATTTCTCTTTGTCAATTTCTCGACCCTTTGTTTATTACTTTGTCAATTTCTTGTCGCTTTCTTTATTAGTTTGTCAATTTCTCGACCCTTTCTTTATTACTTTGTCAATTTCTCGTGCCTCCGTTTACTACTTGATCAATTTGTCTTTTCTTTGTTTATTACTTTGTCAATTTCTCGACCCTTTGTTTATTACTTTGTCAATTTCTCGACCCTTTGTTTATTACTTTGTCAATTTCTCGACCCTTTGTTTATTACTTTGTCAATTTCTTGTCGCTTTCTTTATTAGTTTGTCAATTTCTCGACCCTTTCTTTATTACTTTGTCAATTTCTCGACCCTTTCTTTATTACTTTGTCAATTTCTCGTGCCTCTGTTTATTACTTGGTCAATTTGTCTTCCCTTTGTTTATTACTTTGTCAATTTCTTGTCGCTTTCTTTATTAGTTTGTCAATTTCTCGACCCTTTCTTTATTTCTTTGTCAATTTCTCGTGCCTCTGTTTATTACTTGGTCAATTTGTCTTCCCTTGGTTTATTACTTTGTCAATTTCTCGACCCTTTGTTTATTACTTTGTCAATTTATCGACCCTTTGTTTATTACTTTGTCAATTCCTCGACCCTTTGTTTATTACTTTGTCAATTTCCTATCGCTTTCTTTATTACTTTGTCAATTTCTCGACCATTTCTTTATTACTTTGTCAGTTTTCCGTTCCTTAGTTTATTACGTTGTTTAATTTATCATTTGGTGTTTTTCTAGTTTTTTATTTCCACGTTTATTACATTGTTTAATGAATTATTTATTCTTTCTTTTGTATTTGCAATACACCTTTTCTTCTGTCTAATCCTTTGTTTGCTCCATGCATTAATCTTTCTCTGTTTCTTCTTTCGTTGCTTTTATTAATCACTTTTGTTCATCCTTTGTTATCATATTAATCCTGTATTTGTTTATTAATTTATTTCCTCATCATTAATTTATTCTTTCTTTCTCTTATTATTCTCTTGTTAATTATGCCTCTGATTTAATTTCTTCTTCCTTTATGTTTCTTTTTTATTTATTACTTTATTTATCTGTTTTTATCGCATTATTTATTATATTGTTCATTTTTTCATTGCATCGTTTCTTTAATCCTTTCTTTATTCCTTCTTTTATCCTTTCCCATGTTCGTTTCTTTGTTTATGTAACCTTTGTTTAATAATCTATTCGTTTACATTTTCTTTTGCCTATTTATTTTTCTTTATTCGTTCCATTGTGTCCCCTGTCATCAATACTATAAAAAAACTATAATTGCTGGATTTTAACTTCATAGAAATACAACAGGGTTTAACTCTTCATTGACTCCCGAATGTTTTCTGTATAAAAATGACATATTCCACCATTAACATTACCATTTTCTCTTATACGGGAAATTTGAAGAACTTACTGCATGTAATGTTGATAAAATCATATTTAAATGATGACTATATCACCTTGCTTTTTTATCTCAAATCTTAAAGTAACACCGTTTTTATTATAGCGGATTAAATATTAAAATAAATGGTTTCACGAGTTTCCAACATGTAATCTATGGCCAGGAGAAGATTATAAAATCCTTAAAATAAGCATCTTGCATTTTTAATAGAGAAAAAAATCACTTAAATCATAACAAATTAACTGTCGCGCAACAATATAAGTATGAACTGTTTTTATCATTATTAATTTATTTTATTAATATTTTTCGCCTTTAGTTTTTGCTGCTTTTGAACGCAACATCCATTATATTTTGTTTTAATTTATGATAGTTAGGCTATAAAAAAATAAATAATTACACCTGCGAGATTTAAATGAGACTTGAAGATGTCTTTTATCAGAATCATTACAATTAAGATTGGCATTTACTTATCGTCTGCTTACAATTAATTAAGAAGTTTCAAATTCGGATTATTCTTGTTTCTTTTTGCTTGCTCTTTTTTGCGTTTTAGTTCATTCATATATTTTCACGTCTTTTAACCGACGAGATGTATTGTTACCAATGCTGGTAGTCGTAGAAGTATAAAATATTCAAGTAGCAAAATTATTTTCGACACATATTACAGGGTGCCCTGTAAAAAGCAGCAAATTTATCATCACTGCTTTATCTTTCCAGAATAACTGACCTTGAATAACCTAGAATAGATTTCTTGAATATTGATGACCTTGAATAATCATTTGACTCTGGTGTAATTACTTAACTCTGATTGGTTCTTTTATGATTAATTAACTGCTGCCCGATTTTCTGACTTGTCATTTAAATGTTATTTGCAGGCAACTTTCCTCTTTCGTTATACCCTCCTCGTATAGATAAACAAGTAACTGAAGAAGAACATCCCACGTGGGGATTGACGAAATTCTACCTGAAATGTTCTGTCACATAAATCGTCACCAGGTTATCTCATGTCTTTTTGAATTTACTGTTTTTTTTTGTTTTTTTTTATTGGCAACCTGTGGTAGAAAATATGGAGAAAAATGCAGATGTTGATGGAGTGTGATATTCTTCAGTTTCTCTGGTCAGCATAACTCATACATAAATCATTCAAACAAGGAAAAATAAGTGAACATAGAAAGGAAGGCAGCAAAAAGAGTGAAACGAAAATAAAAGATAGACATGGCGAAGAACAAAGAGGTAAGTTATGATGTTATAAAAAGAAATGTAGTTGAGGCGGGATAGAAGAAAAAAGGAAAGAATCTCAGGAAGAGAAATGGACTAAAAAAAGGAGTGAATAAAATATAATGAATATAAATAAATAAAAATATTTTCAATCTTAACCATGTAATTTATTAAAGATATTAATTTAATAAAAATCCTCTTCTGAGAACCGCGTACAAAATATGGGCGACTGTTTTAGATATCTCAGCTTCACTACAAAATAAGCTTAAACAGACAGCGCCTAGCGACGCAAAGCAAGTAGTTTTTAATATGGCGTCACTCGTAGAATTGAAAGTCGGGGAATTTTACATACTCCACCCAAAGGGAAAACAGCTATTGATAAGCTATATGGAAGATCGATCAAATGAAATACAGTAGCAAAAGTATTAATTTTAAGCAATGATAGGAAATGATGTTGCAGTTATGCTTAACTATTCGATTAGTCGATTCGTCGACTTATCTCACATTGGCAAAAGGCCATATTAACGTGGAAATAAGAAAGATTCTCTCGTGGAACGTTTTCAAATGAGGCGGGCAAATTGACTCAGTTACCGACTAACCTTGAAAAACAGCATACAAATCTCAATTCAGTGAGAGAAGATCGATTACTGGCCCTAATATTACGTTATTCAGTTACAACGTACCCAGTGAACTTATGAGAATATAGCACCAGTGTTTTAATCTTTTGTACTATGTTAGCCTTATTCAGCACACACACACACACACACACACACACACACACACACACACACACACACACACACATAAAACACATACACACAAACTCACACACACAATCCCTATTGCAAACACTGGCTCAAGCACATTTGTGCTTGCTCAACATCTACAGAGCTTACTTGTGGTTTATACTGCAACTATGCTGAGCAGACCTTAATTACAGTTTCTGGTAGAGTGCGTGTTATCTAGCATGATCAACAATTTGAGCAAGGCCAGCACGCTCAACCCCTCGGTCACGATGACTTGTGACTTCGTGCTAGTACAGCTATCGACGGCCCCAAGTCTTCCGTCTACCTAATTTCACTCACAATGCTTCGTGGGATACTTGCTCTTCTATTTCGTATTTATTCATATAGATTCCGTAACATACGTTTTATTTAATTAGCTATTATGTTTCTCTAACTATACAAATGCTGAATGTATAACTAATTCTAATTTCTATTTTCCCATATTTACACGATATTAATTTTATCTCTTAAACTGTCCGCTGTTCTTTTACCTATGAACTAAAAGTAATTGATTGTACGGAAAGTAAGGACCTACGTACATCAAATCGTCTTTAAATTAAGTGGCAGCCGAAGAATTACCATTGCAACTTTGAAAAGGTAAGCTTAAACATTAATTCAATACTTAAATGCAGCGGGCAATTTTGAGTTCTTCTGTAGTTTATTAATGCCTATCGCATCTACTCCTCTCTAGCTATTGTGATGATGGCCAAAGCAAGAGTTCTCTACAGCAGCTAGCTTAAATGTCACCCGATATTTAAGTAACTGTAATTTTGGATACAATCAGAAAATAAGAGTTACTCGCTTGAACCATGAAAGCAACGATAATGGCTAGTATAATATATTAATATATATTTTAACCTAGCATAATCTGGCCACACTGTATCTGAACTCAACGAAAATCATTCCTTGTGCCTAACTTTTCTAGTGTTTTTGAATAAGCTATAAATATGAATAGGACCAGTGGTAGCGGATGAGTTGCTTGGACACACACACACGCGCAAACACACGAACATACACTGTACTTTATATGTAAGATACTCACTGTTTAGTATTCCAGAATATTTTTGTATCATTTTTGGTAAATACATCTCTTAAAATATCAGTGTTATTTTCATTTTTGCGTAATTTAGACGACAATTTATCCATCGCATATTTTACATTTTTTTTCATTCAGACAGGTATAACCTTCACGGCTAAAACCCGCCATGCCACTTACATAGTAGCAAACCACCCACATACCCTCTGTATTTCATCGGTGTTAAGTAGGTCCCACTCAAAAAGCTTCTTCCCACAAACTACTGCCTTGTGGAACTAAATGTTTCCCCAATCACTACAATCTTAGCCTGTTCAAGTCTAAAGTCAACCGTTATTTTCCCACGCTATTCAAGTAAATTACTACTTAAGGTAGCTCTCGACCTCGATTGCCCACCACCCGGGCCTTGTACAGAGTGAAATTTACTATAAATTTGACCAATAATTTAATGAGAGGTTATTTATTTCTAATCCATTAAATGTATATAAACTGGGGCTAATTTTGACTTATTATTCTTTGGAAAATATGTTAAAGCTTACTTTACGGATTTGATGGAACTTGTGATGCTATATTAGGTTAATCATGAGATTGAAGCAACACTGATGAGTTTTTATAAAAGAAAGAACAATTTAAAACCGGACCATTTTACTATATCAATATATTCTCGTTTGATAGAAAAATTGAAGCCACAAAGACATATTCCTTCGAGCGGGAGGCATTCATTAGAAGTTCAACGCACACCTCAAGTTATGTATAGTCTTTCAATAATTTGACCGAAGGTGTAACCTTTGTTATACGAAAATTGGGGGACTATTGAAAATTTCTTGTTATTTCATGAACCCCTATTCATACACATTTGTTTCAAAATATATGTTGTTGGTTACTTTGAATTATAATATATATATATATATATATATATATATATATATATATATATATATATATATATATATATATATATTACCAACGTGTATTGATTACTTTTGTATTATAATATATATATATATATATATATATATATATATTTATATTGGATTGATGTGAGTTTGTGACCCTGGGTTTCACGCTT